CCCTTTTAACCTGTGACATCTTGTACATGTTCAGGACACTCAGCTCCTCCAGTTCACACAGAACTTTTTTACAATTCATTTCTACACCCCTACCTGAGGGATTTATCCAGTTATTTTGTATTTTTGTTCAAATTTCCAACACACTGGCTTCTGCTCTTCTCCACTCCCTCATCTTTCATTCCACTTTATTCACTCTGCATTCTCTCCCCTTTGAGTATTTCACTTCCGTTTATTCTTTCCGACTAGCTAGTCTCAGTATCAAAGCCCTGACACAGCCCTGCTCACTTCCAGGTTGTACTGGGAGCCTGGTGGGAGACACTGTAGAATGGCATGTTATTACACTATGTGCTGTTATGCCTTCTTTACAGAGATCCAAAAGAGCCCAATGCGGCCCCCACGCAGAACTCTGGTCACTATCAGTTACCTACATGTCAAAATGCATGAATAAGTATTGATTAAAGAGCAAATGTTTTAAAGCAAAACCCACCCAAGTCTAAGCAGCTTCAAAGCTTCTGCTCTTCTAAGTACAACTTTTCTTAGCCCTGACTCCTGGCTTAGCTTGCCAATAACCATCCAAAAGTGTTAATACAGTGCCCTGCATGTCAGATGATACTGAAGTGGCACTTGAGTATTCAGTGTGGATGACCCTGAACTTCTCCCCTGCATTCCCTCACATGGTCATTCTCAATCTCTGCAAGTACAGACTTCCACTGAATCTTTCATCAGGCTGGTAGAGTAAGTGGTGGAACCAGAACAGCAGTTGAATCCTTTCAGTTTTCTGAAACTACCATGAGTTCAAAAGTTTTCCTTCCCTGGAAAAGCTGCTCTCTGTTTTTAGTAACAGTCTTGACTTACAGTATGAGAACAAGAATAATGATCAGATTACTATCTACCTTGAGCCATAGTCTGACAAGAGACAGGAATGTATCAATAAAATGCAAAAAAAAAACAAACCCACAAAACAGAAAAACCCAAACAAACAAAACCAACAACCAAAACAGCTACAGTTTGTTGACAAGCCATCAACTTTCTGGTCACCAGCCTCCACCATAATGACAAACTCATAGGTTAGTTCAGGAACTCCATGCACAATCTGCATAGACCTCATAATCCTCATTGTCTGAGGACTCAAATTATGAGAGCCCAAAAAGAAATAAATGAATACCCAGAGAAGGGGAAGCAGAGATGGTGTGACACAATGCAAAACACATCCTCGGACACTTCCAAAAATGCAAGTCATAAAAATATTGTGCAAATACACTTGGAAATCCGACACTATATCAGTTCTGTCCTTTCACAGTTATAAGGCAGAAGCCACTGTCAAAGACAGGACATGAACCTGGGCTGTTTTTTCCTATCACAAAGTACAGCTGTTTTGAGGTTCCTAATTTAGGTTGGTAAGCATCAAATCTAGCTAGCTATTCTATCTTACCTATTATTAACTGCCTGTTTAATTAAGTAGCTCGCAAGACACATAAAACTACTTCTGTGTTTGCGCAAGCCCCAGCAGGACCCAGAAAACGAGCATTTCTCTGGACCCTGGGGAGCCCCATCAGCGTGAACATTCCTGGAGTAGAGAAAACACCAGCAGAGTGGCACTGCTCTTGAAATGTAAGCCTAACTGCAAGAACCCTCTTACTCAGGGATCATTTAGACCATGGAATTAGAAACAAGAGGCTGCTTCTTGCATTCACCCCAAACTGTGAAAAACAGGTAGCTAACCTAGGTTCAGTTCACTCTAGGAAACATTTTGCACCTGGAAATGCCCTATAGCACTTGGCCTGCCTGCCTCAGAGACAATCCCTCCTGGTGAGATGAGAAATCACTTCCCCATCTCTCAGCAAAATCTCCACTGAACTCACACAACCTAAACCAGCAGCATTTCACTGCCTTACTGAAAGGGGCTATGCTGGATAACAACCCATGCACTGAAAGCGCCATCTGGTGCTTTTGGAGTAATCTTCCGAGGATGACTGGGGAAAGTGAGAGGCACAGAAGAGAAAAAGAAGAGCTTATCTTCCAGCATCCTGTGCAACCAGTTTATGCAGTGGAGCTGGAACAAGGATATGGAGTAGAAAAGCAGCACACACTGGTGACTGGGCTCTGTGGGGCTGCAGAGCAAGAGTAAAGGGTGCAAGCAGCAAAGGAGTACCTTCTCTACAAGATGGGTTACTTAACTGGGTGTGACAAACACAGCTGGAGGCCGTGGTTATCCCTGGGAGGTACAAAGCCCTGGCTCTTCTCCCAGCAGTGGGGTTGGAGAAGGAAGCTCAGGCTGAGGTGAGTCTTAGCAATAAACTTCCTCATTAGCAATTACCAATAAAGAAAGCCTCAAAAAGCCCAACACCACACCAGGCAACAACAAAAACTACAAATTAGGCAAGCTACAGGTGGCAAGCGTCCTTTGCAGATTTAGTCAAAGTGGTTCCTGCAAAGCTTTGCTGATGGCAGCAGCAGAGACAGAATCTGTAATGTGCAACTCACTGCAGAACCAGCACACACAGCCAAAGATGAAATGTGGGGTTCAAGTACTGAGTCAGCCCATGTTAGAGTACAGAGCCAGTTTAGATAAACAGTAAAACCAAACATTAGCCATTTCCCTTTTTTGCTCACAGGGGGAGAAGGCAAGACAAACAAACCTCCCATCTTCCTTTGATATGTCTTCCTCTTCCTCTTTGTAATATCTGATAGTTCTCATTTCCCTGAAATTTGCAGAACATCTTAAAACAACTGTTCTCGAGTGCAGAGGTGCAAACACGTGGAACCCAGTCACACTAGCCTGACACGAGGGAAAGCAAATCCCACACCTTCTCTTTGCACCAGCTCCTGGAGACAGAAGTTGCAATCAATGAGCTCTGCAGGCAGCCCCTGACACTGCTGCCACGGAAAAGGACAACTAAGGAGATGCCAGTTTCCCTAGTGACTTGGGAAATTCAACCAGTGCCTCAAGTGGACCGTGCTGCTTTGCACCACGCCACAGGCTGCTCCTCCTGCGTGCTCAACTCCCACAAGGGCTGTGGCGCCACTGCCCGCTGGCAGAGCGGGGAGTACACCTGCATTTTCTGAGCTACTGATGAACCTTCTAGAGAAAAGGGGCTGGGGTTGAGAAAAATAAATCTCATCAATTTTTAGCAGCACTGCCATATTTCAAGTCAATAATTAAGTGCTTCAACTAGCTGATATTTCTCAGCAAGATTTATTCTAGCTCCTGCCATGAGTCACATCTCAAAGTGGTGTTGCAGTGTTACCTACTTCCAGAGACTGCTCCCACATAGGTATTACAAAGCCTTATTTTTTGTATGGAAAGTTCACTTTTTTGGAAGACCTGAAAGTTTCAGGAAACTATTCTAAATCTGACAAGGAACTGAGAAAAGTCAAGGATATCTTCAGCCATTTGCCTACAGACATGAAGCTGTGCATACTGCCATGGCATTTCAAGGAACACCTACTCCCTCATGCAACTGAAGTTGATTGAAAAATGTAACTTCATGTGCTGCAAAGTGCTGTCAAGCTTAAGAGAAATTTGGTCAAAATACAATACGAAGAACATGCAAGAGAATGTCATGGGTAGTGGAACAAAATGGAGCAGGAATAACCCTGAATCAAAGTTCTGAGGGCAGAAAGAATGTATAGGGAAAAAAAGAAATATCAGAATGACTACACCCTGTTACAGCTAACAAACGCTGTTCAAGGCCTGATAGATGTCTCTTGCACATATAGGCCAGATCACCTCATATCTGTTACAAACCTGTGACATGGAGGGCTTTCTCACAGACACTTTCAAACAGAACATTTCCATGGCAGCAGGTAATCACCAGGATCCCAATGTTAGATGCCAGAGCCACCATCTGCCCAGTGCCAACATCAATCAGTGGCAACTTAATAAATTTCTTGGGAAATTAAATAAATGAGTAAATTATTTCAATTTTGCTTTTCAGGCCTTCTCAAATGTACAATACCGGCAAACAGCAGCATTTCAAGACATGGCTACAATTTAAGCAATATTAAAAGCACTTAGCTATCCTTTCTTCATATAAATATTTTATTGCTACAATATTTTATGAACTCTACCCATCAACTTGCCTCTATTTCCAAATGGAAATTGCAAGCATCACCAATACGTCAAGTGAATAGAAATCTAAAAGATAAGCAGTTACCAGAGTAACTTCTTTTCAGAAGTTTCTTTAAGGGCAGGATCTAACAAACACTCCAACAGGGCTGTCAACCCTGTTAAAGAATACTACCATGTTTCTGAAAGAGATGCCACAGGCTAGGGAGAGGGAGCAGGCCACACTGATGAGCAGTCTTTGCTCATGAGGAATAGCAATTTGGAGCAACAGGTAAATTCTTCACAATGAGAACAACAAGCCATTGACATAACATCCCCAAGGAAGCTATGGATTCCCTAATGCTGGATGCTTTCAAGATTTGGCTGGACAGGGTGCTGCAACACGTAGCCTAAGTCGTGTATTGCTTAGAAAGGTTGGACCTGTTGATCTTTGAGGTCCAACCTGGTATTCTATAACTCTATGGGACGCGAGGTGGGAGCATCTACAACAAGGAAGGGATCAGCCGCACGTCCCGCAGCGGCCTCCCTTCTCTGGTGCCCTCCCCGAAAGAAAGGTGGCGGCTACTGCTGCGGGCGCTGGACCGGCTCTACCGACCTCCGCCGCGGCCGACCGCGGTGTTTCGCGCGGCGCCGGCTGCTGCCCCGTCTCTCCCTCCGCTCGGCTTGGCCGCTCCGTTCCGCCGCCAGCCTCACCTGAGGTAACGTCCTCCCGCGCCCGGCTCCGGCCTCCTCCCACGGCGCTCTCGTGAAGCGGCCTCGCGGCGGGAGGGTGCCGGGTGGGCGCGAGGGGCACCTGAGGGGGGCCGCGAGCCCGGCGCGGGCTGGGGAGAGGGAAACGAAACGGGAGCGGGACGGCGTGTGAACGGCAGCAACCCGAACCGGGTTAAACCCACTTCGGTCTGCGCCTGCACGGGTCGCGCGGGGCCTTGGCGGGTGATGCTGTGATGTGCCGATTGAAAACGCGTGTGTGAAGCGGCAGGCTGAAGCAATTAGTTACCACAATCAGGGGTGATCTGAAGGCCCGGTGGGTAATTAACTGCTTTATATCCCAGCTCCGTAGTCCTTATCATTAGACTGGGAATTTTCTAGAACATCTTTCCCTTTTCCCCACACCATCCAGTTGGGACATAGTTTCAAACTCCCTTTTGAGAGGCTTTTCTGAGGAATCCCTGCGTAGTTTCAGCAGAAAAGATTTCCAATGCTCCTGATAGGAGCACCAATAAACAAAACCATTCCCCCACCCCAAGATCCCTTATTTCAGCCACAGTGTAATTTGCTCATGTTCCAGGTAGTGCGCTTCCCATTGGCCGTTTTAATCTCTCATCTTTATGAATAATTAAACATTTAGTGAACCTGATGGGCAGTGACCGACTCTGGACCTTGGGATCTAGTCTGGGGTTAGAGCTGTCGGAGACTCTTCTGCTCTGCTCCCTCAGTAACAGTCAGCAAGCATAATGATTTGTGGTTAGGTCCAAAACAAGACACATAAATAATAAAACAGCACATTATCTCAAATATTTTGACTGTAAGGACCAAAACTTTACAATAAATTACATTAGGGGATGCGTTGTGAGTTCCTTATGCTGTAAAATCTGTAAAACACACATTTGCAGAACTTCACATTCAGAATACGTGGGGTATACGTACAAATACAACAGCCACTGCAAAAAATAAGAACTTCTTGATGATGAAGACTGTGTGGAATACAGGAAACATCAAAAATTACAGCACCAGACTGGCAAATAACAAACAACTTAATATTGGCACAATTTAAATAATTAAAAAACAAAATAAAACAAAAACAAAAAAGTGGGGTGTTTGCCAGGGCTACCAGGCTTTTATAAACTATGTTTTCATGCCACCAGTTGATCACGTTGAACACTGCTGAGCTCCACATGTCACTGTCATGCCGCCAAAGGGAGGGAGTCGCAACAGGGAAAATATTTCATTCATTGAGAGCAGAAGGTTTGCCTGACATTTAAAATGATGTGAGGAAAAGAGGTTGCTGTTAAGCTTTCCCACTCATAGCCTGAAAGTCTTGTCATTCATTAGGGAGAGCTATTTTAAACAAACCCATATGTGGTTGGCAGCAATGTAGACACAGTATTTCTGAGGCAGGTCTTAGAAATTTTTAGGAATTCACAAACAGAAAAACACTGAAAAAGCTTACTCTTGGTCACCAAAATTACCTACAGTTTCTTCTGCTGAGGACTCCTTTTCTGATTTAAACAAGTGCTTTACTATTTTTTGTTGTCATCTTCTTGTTTTTCTATTATCTCAAGCATCTATTAAATCTCCCTCTCTTTTGTCAGAGTACATTTCAAGGTTTAAGATGTTACATTTGTGGTATCAGGCAAGCCTTTCTGAAGTGTAGTCTGTGCCTACACAGAAGGCTGTTCCAGAGCTTCAAGTCCTGCCTGAAGTCTGTTGTATACCAAAAGTCATGGCAAAGAGATGGAACAAGTTCTGGTTTCACATGGAGGCACGCAATCATTGCTGCTCTCTGCAGCTCCCCACAGCATCATTTACAACCCTTGTACAGCTACAGTTCCAAGGCAACCCGGATCCACAGTCACCGTGGGTTTTGAATGGAGCAATCATTACATAGGCACCCGTGTCAGCCTCAAAGTGAGAATCTCTCCAGGAGCTAGGAATGCCTTTTAAAGATGTTAAACTTTCAACCATCTTTGAAACACCTCACCTTTTTAAATTAAAATGAACACTGGTAGGTACATTTTTGACACTTAATTAAACATTTTTGAAATACAGATATGTGTATGTGCACGCATGTATGTAAATGTATTTTGCATTTGCAATTTAGGGATTCTCACCTGTCGAGAATCTTCCCTTTTGCATTCTGAATGAAAGCAGTGTGGGTTTGTTGTTGTTTTTTTCCGGCATGGTTTTTCTTTCTGTATAACTAGAAAAACTAATTCACTGAGCCCCACTTGTGGTCCTCAGTCCTCTCTCGTGCAACAAAAGTGTAATTGGCAGTTCTCAAATACCCAGTGACAGCAGAATTACATTTTTATGTTCTATTCTTCATATTTTACAGGAATCAGAATGCTCTGGATTATTCTCCATTATGCTATTACATAAAATTTAATTAACCTGAAACCAAAATGATAATCAACAATGACAACCTACCCCTGCTGAAAAGCAGCACTGAAGCTGCTGGAGGGATGAGCTGGCTGAAGGGGAGGCAGCGGCAGAGAAGGGATTCTATTAATGGAAGGAAGAGTGAAAGAGAAGGAAGCTCAGGAAGGTCTCATAGAAGATTCACAGAGAAAGTATGTAAGATTAAGGACAAAATTAATTTCATACTGTTTCTTTCTTTGACTGCTGCTGAATGTATGGCATGTGGGACAAACCGGTGCCTGGCTTAACTACAGAAAATTGATAGCAGCTGTACTTCTGTGGGGATTAGAAGGAACTGCTTCCTGACTCACAGGTCTGTGTAAAATATATCCATGCACAACTTGGCTTAATGTATTCTTCAACAGATAAAGCTAGCAAGTTAAGGAACCCAAAAATGTTTCTTTTTAATTTACCACAAACACCATCATTTGTTATTCTTGTCAGTTCTTTTATTGGTTTTCATCCTAAAGACTAGCACATTTACAGCATACATGGATTGGATGAACTAGAATATATAAAACAGTAGCCATATGATATATTAATACTGCCCAAAACCAAATAAATAAAAATATTTCAATGCACAAAGCTTGGCAAATACAGTTGTCTTGGGACAAAACAGTTTTGTATTATACAATAATTTTACATGTATAAATGAAACAAAAGGCAACTGTGCTGTAGGTACTTTCACAGAACATACACAGAACATACTTGGCAACAGTTGGTTTTTTTTTTACCTTTGTATGTTTTATAATTTAAAAAAATGTACTCAAAAAAGACCATTAGACAGAACTTATTTTTACAGTAATCCTTAATTTTGCCTCTCCTGTGCAACAGAAAAGCTTACTTCACCCTTGTGAAGCGTCCTATGTGGATTTCAAGTTTCACAGTTTTCCTTTTTTGATGAACTGCCCAAGATCTTACTGTTCATTGCACCCTTTAAACAAGCCCATCAACGTGCATGTATTGACACTGGCGTATATATAAAATGTTAGCTGGACAACCATGTTTTACGTGTAAGCATACTGAAACCAGGATATTTTAAACAAAATAACGCCATACTTGAGACTGGTATTCCACCACTTTGAAAAGGTGAGCAAAAACCATGCACATACAAAATTCAGCCACTTTTTCTGATTACATTGGTATAGAAAATAAATAAAGGCTCACTAAGCTTGAGAGCAGATCTAATGATTGTTGGACACAGTGTGAGAGAGTGGCTCTGTTAATTGTTACAACAGACCTCTTGTTCTTCTCTTCTGAAGCTGAACATCACAAGATTTTTAGTGTAACAATACAGGACTTAGAATATAATTCAATATGTTTGAAATATACAAAATAAAATTATCAACTCATAAAAACTAAGGGATACAAAGAGTATAGTTTATACAAAAATAAATGTAGCATTTAATAATGGGCCTGGGACTGAAGGTTGAGCAGAGATCAACCAAAGAGATCCCATTGAAAAGTTTTCTCACCATATATTTGTTTACTCGTTAGCAAAAAAAATACAAACCAACATTTATTTATTTATTATGGTGAACAGGGTTGGTAAAATTACAAGGGACTGTTCTACTGTAGGTGATTTGCTCACACCTGGGACAGGTACTACAATACATAGATTTTGCACACAGTTCAGTGTTTTGTTATCTGAAAGAGACAGAACTAACAGTAACAGCCTCACTCAGCAGAACACTCTCTGACCTGGCTCTCTGACATGCTGCTCAGCGTTTGATTGCAACAAGCAAAATGCAAAAACTGCTGGACCTGTAACCCCCAAACCTGCATGGGAGCAGAATGAACATGACTGACTGAGAGAGCAGTGACAGCACAGACAAACATCAGTGAGAGGGAGAAAGGAACCAGAAAACAGCCATATACTTACCTGGCTGTTGCTACTTTCACAAGAATAAATGGGCAGATTTTTCTATTCTAAAACTGACATTCTTAGAAGCTAAGAAGAACAGGGCACAGTGTGCTGAAGGCTGATTTAATCCTGTTAGGTATTCTGTTAAAATCTTGTTCAAATTTGGAAATTAAGGTTTAGCTGCTTTTTAAAAAGGTATCGTAGTTTCAAAGGCATTCTTTGGGAGATTATTTCTGAGGAGATCTGTTGAATGTTTTTTATCAAACACTTATCAAACTGATCACCTTGTCATAAGCTAGAACACACCTGCAGTTCTAGCGCAGTACTGGTAGTACATGAACAGTTCCTTTCTATCAACATGGGGCATTGGCACCTTCCTCAGAAATGCCCTGAAAACACTCATACTTGCCCTCCCTGGATTCTGAACACCTGCCCAGGTAAAATGCAAAGAAATCAATTTGGGTTATGGAGTAGTAGGAATGCATTGGGCACTTTCAGCATTTTTGTACTGACATACAAAATTGACATGAGAGAAAAAAATCAAATACCAATAAAAAAAGAATTACCCCTCCCCCCCCCCGCGATACTTAAAATCCAGAACTGACATAAAAATTCATGGGTAAAAATGTGTTAATTAATATATGACACCATGGGAGAGACCCAACATGTCACATGCAACATTAGCAACCTGCTTGTTGCACTTGCTTTGTAGTGGGGAAGGGCAGAGGGAACTGCTGCTGGTGTTAATGATTAAGCTTCACCGTGTTTCCAAAACAGTTCTTAACATCAGATGTGTGCCCAAGTTCTTACTTGCCAAAGACAGCAGGAATTTGTTTTATTTGGACAGAACTAGAAACCAGACTTCATATACCTGGCCTTTTCTGTACTGTTAATCTCTTTTATGAAGATATATACATATACAGTATACATATACATATACAGTATACATATACAGTAAACAAATTATACTCCTGGCTTTTATTGTGCTGATTTTTTCTTTTTAAGTTAAACTTCTGTTTCTTGATTGTAACAATGCATTCTACAGCTATTAGACTGTCTAGGATCCAATCCCTTTTTATTTACAACTTTTGAGTTTTACTCACAGTTTTAAAAAGTTTATGAAAAGCTCAATCTCAAATTCAATTCTGTATAAAAAGATGTGTCATGAAACAGCTGCCCAACGCCATTCCTAGAGTCCTTGCCCACCCAGGAGGTACCTAGCTATTTGCATATAGATAATTAGGAAGTAACACAATATCTGGTCGTTTTACATACACTGAAGGCTATTTAAACGGGCAGAGCGTTATCACACTATTCTCAAGCTAAGGTGTCAGAATAATTGTTACTAGAGATTCCAATTCTGTAAGTAACATGCTCTGGATAACCTAGCGAAACGTACAAAAAGGTGATTTATGTCCTCTGGATGACAAAATCACGGATTAATCTAGAGTGTATCCACACGTTTTAATGGAACAGCAATTAAAGGACATAGTATGCTTATGTTTCAACTTTTCCATAAGTTCCTTCTGGAGGCCTGTAATACTTTGGGAAAGCCTTCAGTTGCAGGGAATTAAATGCATACTTGCGACATCCAACATTCTTCATTGTATTTTCTCGGCGACAACCCTCACTGGGGAAAAAAAACAAGCACAAAAAATGACAGCAGTAAAAAGGAAAAAAAGAAAAATAAAAAAGACTTAAACTAAGATGAAATGAACTGGTTATTTTATAGCATTGAAAAAAAAAGTTGGTTATATTTAATGAGTGCTTAATTGATTTGCCACTGCAAATATTAAAAATGAGGACTCATCATACAATGCCAGTCAGAAGCACACAGGATGGACACATGCTATGTCAGATTGCTAGTTTTGCATTTCTAAAAAGCAGCAGCACATCTACTGAAAAAAGTTCTTTCATCGATGGTTTCATGTATTTCAGGAGCTCACATGCCGCTTCTTTGCACAAGGGATCTCAAGAGATTGCTTAAAAGCAGTTCTGCTAATTTATTAATACATTAAGCTGAAAAAGAAAAACTGCTGATCTCTCAATAAGAGCTTGGAAGTAATTTTATTGTTCCCTGCATTATCAGTACTTACTTAAAGATTAGAGCTGATACAAAAATAATGACTTTCCAGTAATCTCTGCATGCATAAATTGACTTGAAAACCAACATAGTCTAAAAAAATCTTAATCACGAAACACCAACTTTGTGTGGGTGCAAAAAAGATTGGCTGCACTGACAGTCATCACTCCAATGAAACAAAGCTGTGGAGAATTTCATTTTCACTCAATGCTTTGGTGCAACTGCCCCACATTACAAAGAGGTTCTGTGCTACAATAAAAAACTACTCCAGTTATAAGGCTTCTTTACACTCATAAATCTACTTCACAGTTCCTTTGATTACATCCAGAAACAGACGTACAAGGAGGAAGCACTATTGTTTACATATATATTATAGATCAAGTTAGGCTTGCAGGAGAATGTCTTTCCCTGATAGAGGACTGAAACCTAAACAACAAATACTAGAACTTCATGACAAAATGTACAGTACAGCATCTTATGGTGGAAATACCACTTTATTCCTGTCCTGGAGATGCTGCAGCATCTACCACAGAAACCATGGTCATCTGATTGAAAAGGAAGGTTTGGATTCCCATTCAATTCGAAAGCTCTCTCACTCAAACTGACCTCACTGTTCTTCTAATTTGGGCTAGTTAAGCTGACCAGAACTGTGTTCTGTATGTACCTCCTAGATCGACGTTGTAAAATATAGTAACTTTTTGCTTTAAGACAAAGTTTAAGTGAGTTTGATATTCGTCTCCAGAGCACATTCTGTACCTGCCTTTTATGGAATGGGTTGTACATGATGACACTATTTTCATGGCACTGCTTTGTGTTTTACAGGAACCCCTCCTCCAGAGGCTGTTGCAGTCAAATAGATTAATCAAAAATAGGCACAAATTATACTTCTGAGTACTAATAAAAACAATGGTTAACTAGCAAATATCGGATACCAGATGAGCATTTTCACTCCAAAGTGAATAAAAAATTCTGTTCATAATTCATCCCACTGCATCTGGTTATTGCACATTCCCCTCCATGACACAAGGAGGCCACAGAGATGGTGACAGACGTATTTCACACACCATCTCATGTGCTGTGTTTCTTCTGGAGGTACATAAGCAGTGTGCACTACAGCATTTTAAATCTGAATGCCTGAATGACAGCACAGACCAAGCTAAAAATAAAAAAGATGAAAACTTGTTCCCACTAAAGCTTAAGAAAATAAGAAAATAAATACTGTTTTCAGAAAGCCTGGGGTTTTATTCTAGATAAATTTAAGGGTGATCTTACCCTAGTGATAGTCATGAGCAAAGCCTTTACGCTTTATTTAAACAGATTAATAATCTTAGGGAGTTCAGTGGAGATAACACCTACTACTAAAATTGCTTTCACATGTTGTTAGACTGAGCTCGTAACACTCATCACATTGCAAGAGCAAAACCACAGTCCAACCTGACATTTTGTTCACTTTGTGAAAAGGCAGATTTTGGTACCCATAGCAAATGAACCAGGAAGAAGAAATTATATGTACAGAGACACAGTGGTACCAGATAACCAGCACAGGGTGTGGATGTGTCCAGTACCATCATACCACAATTTTAAACCTCATCAGCAGTAAGGATTTACCTAAATCCACTGCAACTAAAAATAAATAGGATGCTTAAATATCTATATGTAAATATAGATAGATATGTATGGCTTTCTGTTTGGTTTGGGGTTTGTTTTTTGGTTGTTTTGTTTTTGTTTTCCTTTTAAAAGAAAATGGGAATAGTGAGGAAAACTACCAGGAGACAGTGTACTGTACAGTCTGATTTCATGAAGATACAAATATAACCACATACTTTTTTGGTTTTAGTTAGAACATTCACCAAATTTAGGATTTTGCTCTATTTTTTACTCTAACTGTGCTTTTTTCTTTTCTTAAGCATACCTCTCTCAGCAGGTAATTTCAAATTCCATTAAGACTGATAATAAAAGCTATAGCTACCTATAGTTTTTAAGCAAGTTAATAATAGTAGAAAATAGAAATCACAGTACTAGGAGAATTCTCCTCAAAAGCCCAATTTTCTGTCATCTCAGGCACCAAGCGAAGTAAATTCCTTCATGAATTTAGCAAAGTACATTAAATGAGGTTAGTTTTTTTAATCAGCTATTGCTATTGACAAGCTCTGCCACACAACTGCAGCAACAAAATCTTTCAGTTTAGTAGGCCTCTTCCAGGTTGATGTTACATCAACAAGGACCAAATTTCATCTGCAGTTATTCTGTGTGACTAAACTAGGTAAGCCGCTTTAGTCTCACCACTTAAATAAATGCTAACTTACCATCACTCATTTATCTCTAAGCCACTATCAACATCATAATTTATTAAAGCTGTCCAACACTTAAAAATGGAAATAACAGTAATATTTAGTCTAGTGTAATTAAACCAAAGCGCAGTGGAAAACCTTGAACCCACCTACTAAAGGAGCTAACTGATACCTCCCCTCTTCTTGCCTGAAATATTAAAGACTGGTATCTTTAACTTCTAGGATGAGAATGACCCTGTTTCAGAATAAGTTCTATAACAGAGCACCTGAAACAGATAATGGACCATTAGCAGGCCAATGCAAATTACATCCTCTTTCTAACCACAAGTCATTCACTTCATGTCTTCAATACATTACAAAATGCAGATCTACAAATAGAATGAACAAATTCTACATGCAGCGCACTGCAAGTCATTTTCTGAGTGGATACACTGGTCTGTTAGAACATACTTAACCATGAGAAAGGAACAAGACTATGGCTCTACAAATTGTTCAGCAATGTAATTTGGATATTATCATTTGAAATGAAGGTAGAAATCTGTTTATTTCTTTAAATAAATTTCTTATAATTTCTTATAAACCCCACCCATGTTTTTATTTTTCTCTTCATACCTCGTAAAAATGAAAGGCAAGATTAGCATACACCTTAAATATACAAAAGATACAAATTCTTTTCAGACAGAGTTCCTTTCTCTGGAATACATGAAACAAGTAACACAAAACTATATTTGGTAAGAGATCTTCAGGCCAGCTAAAGTAACGAGGTAACAGGCCAATGTCAGACTATGTTACAAGCACTGAAAGCAGAACAAGAATTTAAAGTTTCAATACAATTCTTTTTGATAAAATAATTTGATGTGTATTTACAGTTTAGTACAATAGAAACGTAAAATTGTAAGGCATAATAATAATTCCTGGCAGACAATGCTATGACACATTCCTTTGTCCAGCAGGTACCAAGTGGCAATACACATTCAAGCTTTTTTTTGCTTTTGTTTTTAAACTTTATCTTCACTTGCAACGTAATCTGGCCACCAGGTAAGCTATGCTCAGAAACAGCCACACAATTAGTAAATTGGGGCTCAGAGCTAGTAAAGGAATAGAGTAGAGGAGGCTGGGATCTAGTCTGAAATCACGGATGGGCACCAAGCCACTCAAGTTCTTCTGGGTG